GGGTGGGAAGGGGACTGACAGAGACTGTTTTGTGCAAGAACTAAACCCAATGATGCTGGCTAGAGCTGTGACCTCAACCTTTTGGTCCAGTCCAGCAAGCTAACCATTCTGTCATCATGACATAAACCTGACAAACAGTCAAAAAAAAATGTTTACACTAGTTCTGCCATCAACATGATAGCTGTGTATCATTGCTTTTTGAGACCACTTCTTTAAATTAAAAGAAAAAGGTTTTAATCCTCTATGGAAGGGAAGGAATTTAAAAGTACCCCAAAACACTGACAGGTGAAAATATGTCTGTAAAGGCCTGTTAAAGAAAAATAGTTTATACTTGAGTTGTATATATCCAATTGTTCACTTAAAGCTTGTTTCAATGACAGTTAAAAAGAAAAATGTGTTTAAGTCTTACAAATTTAAAATAGAGTCAAAAAGAATTGTTTGAGGAAGTTTAGCTAGTTATCTTTTAGTGAAGTTCAATTGTCATCAAATAACATTGTCAGAAACTTTAAAATTACAGCTATTTTCTTAGAAAAAGGTTAACCATTAACAGTTGCTCATAAATTAGCAAAGAGTAAAAAGTTATCATGTTTACAGATTTTCAATAGCAAAATCAGTATTAAGATGAGTATTTTAAGTAAGATAATTAAGATGTGGAAAGAGGTCAAGTTACCCTAGGAGATGTTAGCCAGAAGTTTTCACGTTGCTCGCCATTTGCCCTCATTTGCCTCACACTAGCTCGCCACTGAACTGCAGCAATCTAAGGCAGGGAATGTCACTGATCATGACACTGACTCAAACCCAATAGAAAAAAGCATTACCACTGCTGTAAATTAAGGCAGATCAAAAACTTAACCTGCAGCCAAATCTTTAAGTGCCAGCTCTCTGAAACTTGGCATTTCAGATCTATGCTATTCTAGGTTTACAAATAAGGCAATTAGATAAAGTGAGACAATTTTGAACAAAACTGAAAAAAACAGAAGTAATTTTTGTGACCAACGAAGTTACAAAATACCAGTAAAAGTAAATTTTCAGTGACAGTCAATTCTATGACAATTTAGATTCTGAAAGTTTTTTCACTCTCTTCTCATTTCTCTCCAATATTCATTAAATTCATTTTACATTTTTTTAGCTCAGTCTTTATGTTTCCTAAAGAGAAGAACTTTTTACTTAAATTATATTATTACTTGTGGATCAAAGAGTCAAGGTCAAAATTAGTTTTATATGAGAATATCTTTCCAAGCCTACATTATGTCAAAGTTTTAAATTAGTCTATCAGGCTTACAAAAAATTACACTAAGAGTTGGTACATATCATCAACTTTCAGACTGAACTTTTAACTTCATAAAGAGATCATTTTTCTAATTTAACGACAAGTTACAAAATCTTAAAATTTTTTCTGAGAATCTGGACCTTAGAGACATCACTTGAGACAGTATGAGAACACTATCACTGTTGTAAAGTAA